TTCCCCGATGCGCTTGCTCCTTATCGTAATCGCTGCCTTTAGGCTTATGCCTACACATTGACTTATGCTTAAGCCTATGATTGGGCCTAGGCATAGTCCTGATCGCTTCGAGCAAGTGAATAGTCTCTCAGTTTCCGGTGACCTGACCTAAGGGAAGGACTGCAGCGCACCCGAGGTTCTGTCCCCTTCATGATACCATACATTTTCACGCTCCCAGCTGTTTGACCTAGGTTCATTGACCAAGCGGTAGTTTTCGCGTTCCGAATAGCAAACGAGCTAAAGCTGCAGTGATGCTTTCCCAAGTCGTGACCTTTCTCAAGTGACTTGAGCTTTTTCCATACCAAGCTATAACGCATTCACTCACTACCAAGCAATAACTTCTTGTGTCAAGCCTCACCTTTATTGCCATGAAGCTCCTCAATCTGATTGGTCTCCAAAAACGTGAATCCTCGTCTCTTCATATCCTTCTTCTGCCTTCGATCGAAAGTTTTCTCAAGTTTTTTGAACATGTTCGTCATTCGTTCCGTTACTTCCTTGAGTTCGCCTTGCATGCCGAAAAGTTCTGTACTTGACAATGTCTGTAATAGTCTGATATTGAAGGGGACGGGAGCTAAAGCAACTTGTCTGGTACGACATATCATGAAGGAACGGTGCTGACGTCAGAGGTACTCAGCACTTCCGAAAAAAATTTAGCAGGCGTTCACGGGAAAAGTAAGGGAATCCCAGCTGCACTAGCAGCCCGCAGCTTGCCTGACTCCACCGTATAATTCCATGGTTAGGGAAGGTGAGGGGTGGGGAGTTGTGGCTATGACTTTCAAAAGAACAAGGTGCTCACATTTACTGTGCTCTAAACCACATATTTTATTAGGAATGATTCAAATCGGCTTTGGAATTGATAGTGGATACAGTATCTTTCTGAATGAATTGATAGTGCTGACCCTTCCGAATCAAAGGGAGGATTTCATTCGACCATAAGGTTGGCAGTGAAAGAAGAGAACAACCACCTAGTAGAATGGCAGGCGGACCCCCTGAGCCTGCGGTACGACGCGTTTTGCACCTGAAAGGTTTGTTCCCAGCAGTCTAGCAAAGCCATAACGTGCCGCTCCCGCAGTTGCCCGCTCACCACTAGCTGCCCTGGTATATGGAGCGTTCATTGATAAGGTCAGCACCGATGAGGCACGTCCAAGGTGCCAACCAACAGGCAGAAAAAGGTCCCATCCCTCGGATTCTTATTCTTGGTTTTTTCTTCTTCACTGCACGACTGAACTCCTCTAACTTGATTTCCAGTGGGCCGGCTTTCATCATAAACTCTATCTTCAAGCCTATCAAGGAATTGTGGACTGACCATTCAAACCAATTTGGCTTTCTAATCATATTTTACTAGTAAGTACTCGATTTTGCAAATAGTAAGTCACATTCTAGAGTCAATCATTCCTTATTGGGGGTCGTTTAAACGCAAGAAGACATCGATCAGTCAGGTGCCACTCGTAGTGGGGCATAGTCGAGGAGAAGAGAAGTATAGGAGCAGTAGGATCTCTTGTGCCACTCGCTGCGTTTCGTTCATTTTTTCGAAAAAACCTCAGAGGCAGCCAACTTGGAAAAATCGTCGTCAAAATTCCAATAAATACTCATTCACCTTCATAACGTCGTCAATTATTTGGCGAGCTCCAGTAGTTTCCATAATCATCTCCAGCACATCTTCACGATCGTTTTCAGACATTCCAGTTGCTTCAAGCAGCTGCAATTCTGATTTAAACCATTGAATTTGCTGATGGAATTAACGATAGCTAGTTGACCGAATGAGATTCAAATAGAGCTAGATGTGTTCTTCATAACTTAAAAAAAAATTGAAAGTGTTTCGGACGATGATTCCGTAATAACTTCGTATAAAGTCTGTCGTCATTGGTACTTGCATAAGTGATCACCAAGTAGGTACATGCATCAAGAAGTTGCTCGCGCCAATCGAAACTCTTTCGCCTTTTCCACATTGTCTACTTGACTGTCTATCCGTCTCACAGGAAGATGAACGGAACGTACTTGCTACGAAGAGGAAGTGCAAAGAATTTCGGAATTTGTCAGAAGTGCAAAAGGTTTCATTAGGGCCGATGGGCGACGACGCTGACATAATGCAATCGCATCGAAGTCATTGAGAAGGAAGTTTGCGTTCTTGACTCAATTGAGGAGAAAACTCAATTCATGCATAAATAGAGGGATTCAAACCGACATAAAAACTAGTCTCAAGATCATATATTGCTTATGGAAAGCACAGAATCTGTATCTAAGGGATATTTCAGGGAAGTTTTCCTGAACCCTTGAGAAGGCGTTATACAGAGCGATCAGTAGGGGACCGGTGACCAATGGAACGTGAGAAGGGCGCCTTCCATACCTTGATCGAACGCATATCTCGAGTCGCCAACGGCAGTGGGCAGCCACTAAAGGCTCTGGAGGCACGCAGCATGAAATAGAGGGTGCCTAGAGGAATCCTCTGCAAGCAAAGGTGCTCCGGGACGTTAAAAGGGAATGTGTACCAACCGAATATGGCGTGCAGTGCCACACGGCAATGAGTGCTGGCCCCTGAACAAGAGTATCGAAATGCAAGCTTCACTCCACTAGATGAGGCAGTGCTGAAAATGCGACCTCGCTTGCACGCGTCTGGAACAGGGGTCTTGGGGAGGGTTTCCAGCAAACGCGTACCATGCAAGGACTTGTCCTGTCCAATTACAGATGCGGATAGCAACACCTATCGATGGTAAACGGGCATGTGCTAAGGAGGGCCACAGGTTCCTTCATAACGAAAAACGATGGCACTCTTCGTAGTGCAAGCAGACGACCGCGATGGGAGGCCTCAAACAGGAGGTGCAGGGGCGTCATCAAAAAGAAGCTAAGTGAAGTCATCACCTTAGCCGAACATGCACTGGACTTCGAAGTGGCGACGACTGGCAAAGAGTCTGCCTGTTTGTCAGCCGTCGCCTGTATAATCTGTTCGTGGAGTTATAAGTTGTTGATAAATGGAGTATATATACAGAGTATTCCATTTATACTCTCAGCCTTCGAAACAAGGGCTGTAAATATCCATGCCGAGTCATAAACCTTCAATAAACGGAGAATGGCCTCTTCTTGACACGTATCTCATAGTTCCTTAGAGTATCAACACTAGTGTCTTTTGCGCCCTGGCATGCCTTTAATCTGGCGCTTCAAGACACTGAGCGACTACAATTGTTGAACACTCAGCGCTAAATACCTTCTCGGAGATAGTAACGAGTTGCTCCTCGCCGTATCATCCTTACTTGCTAGAAAAGAACAGCCGACAGAGAAGGCGAAAGCGCTCCTCTGATACCTGCTTTGTCGGGCATTACAGGAGCAAATCGAGGACTAAAATGGCAAATTTATTGTGTACTGCCAGCACTGAATTTCCTTCAGCGAGCAATCGCTGAACGAAAGTGAGTGTGGGCAGTACGCAGTAACAGTTCTTGAGCCTTTACACGGCTCATAGGCTCGTAGCACATATGTTCATCGAGATAACGCTTAAAAGGTTTACAACTCGAAAAATAGTTTACCTCAAAAATTTGATGTTGGACGAGTCGCCAATCTCCTTAGACTTTCCTTCGAAAGAATGGATCAAACTGTATGCATCCTGGACAATTGAAGGCACAAGACTCTGCAAGGTTTCATTCTTTGAAAATGTCTGTAAAGTGAGACTGGAATAATTGTCACTCTGGAAGCACAATCCAGCATTCCAGTAAAGTTGAAAAGCCCATCATGCAAATTCGTTCATCACTCATCTCGATCAACAGGTTCTATCAGCACACTCACCGTTTTTAATTTTATTTGAGCACCTTTCGAAACGCCTAGCTAAGGCAGACGTCATAGTTTGCGAATCGAACGATTCGCTAACTTCGCGCGCTTTCTTCTTTTCCATCAGGCTGGTCAAAAATTTGTGCCGGTTCGAGTGTTCAACTTTGATGCATCACAATTCTGTTGAAACCAACTCTTTAGCTTGAAAAAAAAAACGCTGTTACATCCTTCTTACATTAAAGGATAATAAGGATCAAGCATTTGCCGTTGATCAATCCCTTTTTGGGATGTAATCTACTTCCATTTGTAATTTCGTAGTTGTGTTTGGCCTATACAATGACTTGCGGGGCCAGCCGATGTACAAGTCAGTGTTTTTATCCTCCCAGACAAGTCTGGTACCAATTAACCGACCCCGGAGGGATGGAAGGCTTGGTTGGCCCGGGCGACTCACGACCCAGGATTTGATCCCCGGACCGCTCGCGTGGTAAGCGTGCCACTTGCCACACCACTTCTCGCCTTACCTTCCTGCTTGAATTACTGTTGCGAAACTAGTCAATGCGGGTAAAAATTAAAAATTTTCCAGTCTAAAAACGGATGGGGAGCGATTTCGAAATCTCTCTTTCGGAGGCTGGCTTTGACATTATTTACCTTCTTCATTTTGCCCAGGACTACTTAAGATGAAGTTTGCGAAAGAATTTCAAAGCTCTTTCCTATCGATTCTCAACACATTGACGACAGCGTGACGCGGCTGCGCGTCCCACCCATACAACCCCCTTCCTTTCTAGAGTTTACGACTCCTTCCCAAATTGTTTATGCTTATTATATAGATCACACCATAACTTAATTCTAGACGCAATGTTCTTATTTGTGTTTGTTTTTTTCTGCCGTTCGAGGTTGATAGGTGGAACATTTATTCAATCGGCCTAACGTTTCGACAAAATCGTCGTCTTCTGAGGCCTAAACGCGGTTCAAGGTTAAGATTCACGATCTAAGCCACCAAGCGCCTATCTCCTCTAGCGGTTCCGACTTTCCGTTCGGGAGTCCACCGAGAAACATAAGCAAAACGAATTTTGAACTCACCAGTTCCACCGGTACACCATAATGTCTCCTGGTTTTAGTAACAGTTAGGAGACGCACGTACGCTTTATTCTACAGCTCGCAGTGCGGTATAAACGGCGAAAGATCTTTTGTCATTGAAGGACGTTAATCCCGGCATGCATATCAAGCCAGGAGGAAAGGCAGGAGGAGCGGGACTGAGGAGGAGGGTGTTGGATAGAGCGACTGGAACATCTTGTACTGCGTCCGTCTTTGGAGCCGTTGAATCCGTTTTTCGGGTTAACGCCATAAATCTTTCCAAACAGCCACTATAATGTACGCACGCTGCATTCACAGGTAGCAGGGAGTGTCTGCCTTTTCTCGGCTATTTTCTATCCGCTTCTCATCACAACTACTTTTACTCTTGATGCCCGTCATACTGGGACAGTCACACGCAGTCCTGAAGCAATCTACCGCACTCGTACGGTCTGCCAATCGCTACTATAGTGCACTTTCCTATCGCTTCCACTTAGACGATTTTATTTTTGTAGAGTAATATCGATAATGCTTGCAAGCCTTCTTTTCTAAGATTGCTCGCTTTTTGAGATTTCCAGGGATTCGATTACTTACGCGCATCAAGGTTTTTAGTACATTAGCGTGTAAGTGAATCGCCATGTTATGAACAGGCTCATGAAGCGAGTAGAGTAGTTAATGAGTTGGCAATTCTATCTGTGAATCTGTTGGAAGTTTTCGTTCATTCACTTCCTTTGTGGCGCAACCTCGGACGAGTCAACACTTTCGATTTCACTCATAGCGTTTAAGCATACAGGGGGGGGCCAAAAAAAAAAGACATTTTGCCTATGTCGGACTTCGGCTCTTTTTTCTTCGCAGAGATTGCTGTCGTTGACGGGAGTTCCTCAGCAGAGTATTCCCTAAGTGTTCCTCTATTAGTGTACGCAGGCTCTCCTTCACTGCCCTCACCGTCTTCAGAATATGACGTCATCTGTCACCGTCGTCAGGCTCAAGGAGGTCTACCGTAAGAGCTTCAGCCTGAAGCTCTTACGCAATTTCGTGAATCGATTTAATGTTGGATAGTTTTCTAGAGGCATTAGCTACCACTGTGCAAATCCCCTCGGAACTAGCTTTCCAGTAAGGGTCGTTATGGTACACGATCCTTCGAAGACCCCATTGAGATCGACCAGTGCACCATGTTTCCAGGGCTAAATTCTTCTGATGCCGTCCACGTACGTGGCCACTATGAAGATTTTCTTATAGAATGGAATGCACTCTTTAATAATAAGTTGGAACCGTTCGGTCTGAGTTGAGTAAAATGTGCTTAAATCCATCTGGAAGTGGAGGCAAAATGTCTTTTTTTTGGCCCCCCCCCTATGTACTTACGTACCGCGTCTATCCGCTCGCAAACGTAGATCGCCGGCGAAGCGACTAGGGCTCAAGAAAGTGGTGAGTCCGTTCCGATCTCTCCAAAGTTCTCGGCTGCGCTCTACTTTGGTAGATTTTGAGGATGCCGATGCTGTGTTCGGGTTCTAATGATTAAAGATCGCTCTAGACGCCACGTACAACGCTGCCACACAGAAGCCTGGCACGATGCTCGCTACTGCACCTCATCGTTGGTTCAGCGGATTTATCGAACAATGTGAGCTTCCTCCTTGACCTGAATAATTCCTTTGCAGCTGTGGTTTCAAGTCCCTACCCGCTGTTGGTATCGTGCATCCCTGAGGGATCTTTTCCTAAGCCTCACTTCTCCAGTGCTGGCGATTCTCCTCAGTTCCTCTATCTAGCTAAGGCAATTCGATGACGCATGTGCACAGTCTAGTTTACTAGTTTACTTCTGAACAAAGAGCCAATTTGGGGGGCATAGCGCGCGAGAAGATTGAGGAGGTAACTGATGCTCAAAGGAAGGATTGCGACGCTATCGTGGGTCACCTCATGTCCTTTTTCGACAGCCCTCAGCAGAGACAGCTAGACAACGCTTTACACATGTCAGCAGGGGCCTTCCGAATTGTGTGTGGGTTCCGCGAATGCACTATTAAATCTTGTTGTTGTTGCCACAGCAGAACAAGACCCAGTGACGCAAAAGGAGCGGGTGTTAGAGGAATACGTGGCCCGTTGAAGGAGAGCCACAGGATACCTTGTACGGTTAGAGAAGCCTTCAACATTAGAGCAAGCTGTGACGCGCGCGCAGATGATCGAGCAGTTTTTAGCCGAAGCAAGCAGCGCATAGCAACCAAGCCTCCCTTTCCAAAACAACGTTATGGCCTGCCCGCGGCGGACGCACAAGAGTGTCCGAATCCCGCGCTGATTACCTATAGGAGTTGTTTCAATTTAGAAAGCCTCGACATTTCTCTGTCCGTTGCCTCGCTATTTCGCTCAGCGGTTCGTCCAATCCCGGCGCAATATACCCTCGCCCCATAGGTGTTACCATCAAGCCAATTGGTGTCTTTTCGTAATTCGGGGTTGGCGCCAATTTCATACCGCGCAGGCGACCGTTCCTAATTCGTCGCAGGACCCACTGAAAAGGCCGCAACAGCAGGATAGAACGCTGCTCTACTGATCTCCATCTGTTTTTTGCAGCGATCGCTCCCAAGTTACCCGCACTTCATTACCATCTTCATCATCCTTGCCGTCTATGAGTTGATTCTTCTGTGTGCACTTATATTACATGGAGCATGTAGAACATCTTCCGCATAGCTTTGTCCATACGATCCTCACGACGTCATCCGTATTTCCGTCCAGCATTCCGTTTCTGTTCTAGTGCTTTGTCTCCAACCAATGCCAACATTAGCTCTCTTTTGCTTAACATATTTCGTCCCAATACGAAACGCTATTCCTCTGCGGCATTTTGGTGTAAGATCTGGACTAGAGGCAAGATGCTTAGCTTATAATGATGACATGATCATATTGAATCAGACCTTTGCGGAGCACCTGCAAGTCCTTTGGAACAGTGTTCGAGCGATTTTTCCAATATTGAAGCCTCAGGTAAACTCAAGCTAGCTGAAATAGCTGAGTCCAAAGTCACGCTCTCAGGGCATGAAATATTCTTTAACTCGTACAGCCCATCTGACCGCAATATCCACGCAATCGTATCATCGGAGCAAACTTTTTTTAGGCGATTCATTCGGAACTTTGCCAGCAGAGCATTCCCTGTACAACTAATGAAGAGCACCGCATCGAGCATCGATATAGCGTAACCCGGCAGCGCCCCCGTCAGAGCAACCTCGACACTCAAATCAGGGTCGCTTCACCGATGTCGTTTCCGGATACCTTCCGGTCCAACAAACAGCTCATATCACTAACTCCGGCCAGCGCAG